ACGTTCCGACCCATTTTCTATCACAACAGCATATCCCTGTTCCGCCCCTCCGACTCTTACTGTCTTTTTGCGTCACGATTCCTACGATTACACTTGAACATAACATGTCCCATTGAAGCCAGGCTTACGATTCACAATTCACACTAAATTGATTTTGGAGCAAGATTACCAACTGTGTTTAACAGCTTTTTAAAGTTGTCCTTTATTGTTCCCATAAAAATTTGTTCCTCTGCCATTTACAAACTAAAATTCAATAGTGTTAGGGGGAGGCAGTGGCAATCCACTGTGCAGCCCGCCCCCCAGGGAACAACTCCAGTTCTAAGCCAGAGTGCCTTAGTCGAAGGCAGCTAAACAGGAGAATGACGCTAACATGACATGTTGATGGCAGGGAAACCCGAGAGCACCCAGAGGGAACCCCACGGCAAACACAGGGAGAACCATGCAGATTTTAAATAATAAGATGTAAAAAAATGATTCTTTTTGCCTGTTTTTAGACGAATATGCTGCCCTCCCCCTTAATTGAACTTTTGGTGTTTTATGACTGTTTCCCAAAAGTTTCCTTTAACCAGCCCAGCCCAATGAATTTGATGATTGTCAGCTGGATTTTGTTTGCGCTTGATTCTTGAAGACTCATAACTCCGAAACCTTAATTAACGGTTTGATTAGGGCAGTTTGTTGAGGCTCGTGCTTTTGTGTGCATTTTCTGTCAGCGGAATAAATTCATTGAGCAAGATGGCTCCTTGGCTCAGCCCACAAAATGCATGATGTAGTGACACACACCAGTTTCACCAGCTCTGGGGCGGCCCCCAGAGAGTTGGCTGATTAGGTTGCTGTGCCTGACTTTGTAAACTCGAATGTTGCCCGTGACTACGCTCACTGACACAGCGTAAGAAAATTACCAATCCTGAAGATACTGATCAAGTGACAAGAGAAAAACTAATGTAGGCAGTTGCTCATTAGCTATTAAAACAGCCTTGAAATGTTACGAGTAATTCTTACTATGGTCATGGCCTGACATAAATAATTCTCCATATTCTTATGTACCCGAAATTTTGTTTCGGGCAGAATCCGAATCCACCGAAAAACCAAATTGGTTAGTTAAAAAGCGGTATTCCCAAATCCACTGCACAATCACCAACCGCAAAACTCAGGCTTGTGCAAGCTGACATTTCAGTTAGCAGCTTGCACCCCGCACACAACACACGATACACATACACATACACACACACAGCGCAAATAATCCCACCCAGAGGACTCTTCAGGCTTGTTCCAGAAACTATTAGCAGATAGCATCAGTGCATGTAGGAATGTAAACATTTACAGTAAAGCTATAAGACATCAACTTGCCCCTGGGGAAGACACATCCATCACTGCAACTGCATCAGCACTCAGACGTCCCCCTGGTTTCTAAATGAATTAAACATCACACCTTTGCACAATTTGAACCGATTTTAATCAGCCCACGTTGTTCTGTTAGCCAATGCCGGTAAGTTCACAGCTAAGTGATCAAAGCTACAGTTGATTTCCATAAAATCGTCTGTTTTTAACTGGTTTACAATTCAAACATCTTTTAACAAATGCTATTGTTTTGAGGCTAAGCAGAGAATACTGTTGCACCCTAGCAGTTACTGTGGCCCAGTGGTCATAATATTGTGCATGTAAAGAAATGCAGTGATCCCAGCTCGGTGTTTGTCAGAGCAGGAGCAGGGGTCATGGAGAGGATTAGAAAAGGACAGAGAGATGAGCCCACCCAGAACTTACAAAGAACAGTCTCGTTTTGAGAAAGTAGCACAGGTCCATGGTGTGTGTGTATGTGTGTGT